AAGATTGGTAATAAAAGGCTTTAAACAGCGTAAAGGTGTAGATTACAATGAAACATTTAGCCCTGTAGCCAAATTGGGAACAATTAGAGCTATTCTAAGTGTAGCTGCTAGTCAAAACATGCACATATCTCAATTTGATGTTTCAACAGCGTTTCTTTATGGTCATCTTGAGGAAATTATTTATATGAAACAGCCCGAAGGTTTTGATGATGGTACTAAGAAAGTATGCAAACTTAAAAGAAGTTTATATGGATTGAAGCAAGCCCCACGATGCTGGAACCGAAGATTTGGGAAGTATTTATTGGAGCTTGGTTTTAAGGCTAGTGAAGCGGATCCATGCTTATATATGAGAGATAAAAATGGTAAGAAGTTAATACTTGCCCTATATGTAGATGATGGCCTAGTAGCTGCTACAGATCCCAAAGAGTTGGAAGTGTTTTTAACAGAATTAAGAAGAGAATTCAAAATAACTACCAAAGATGCAAGCTATTTTCTAGGATTGGAAATAAAAAGAGATGATAATGGCATTTTTATTAACCAAGAGACGTACGCAAAGAAGGTCTTAGAAAGATTCAGATTTTCAGAAAGCAGATCGGTTTCCTCGCCAATGTTAAAAGGTGAAAGTTTCGAACCAGGGAAAGAAAACATGAAGGGTTCTCAATTTCCATATAGACAAGCCGTAGGAGCCATCATGTATTTAATGTTGGGAACAAGACCTGATTTAGCCTATAGTGTTGGGTTCCTGTCTAGAACGTTAGAAAATCCTTCCAATGATGATGTTATCCGTGTCAAAAGAGTTCTTCGCTACATATCTGGAACAGTAAAGTACGGAATTTCTTATAAAAACAAGTCAGACCAAGAACTTAAATGCTACAGTGATGCAGACTTTGGTGGATGTTTAAAAACAGGAAGGTCCACAACAGGTGTTATTGTGAAATTTGCTGGAGGAGTTATTTCATGGTTAAGCCAAAGGCAAACTATGGTTGCTACATCCACAACGGAAGCCGAAATAGTAGCAGCCTCAGAAGCAACAAAAGAAGTTATTTGGATAAGGCGCTTATATGCGATTTAATTGGTTTGAATGACATTCCTTTACTTTACGTTGATAATTCTGCTGCTGTACGATTGGCCCAAAATCCACAATATCATAGACGAACAAAACATATTAGTTTGAAGCACTTCTTTGTTCGTGAAAAAGTCAGTGAAAGAGAACTTGAAATTCAACAAATTTCTACTCAAGATCAATTAGCGGATTTGATGACAAAGCCCTTACAACCTACAAGATTGAAGATGCTTTGTAATCAGATCGGTTTAGAAATCTCCAACATCACATAACAAGGGAAAGTGTTGAATTAAATTGTTATGTTATGTATAATACTTTGTATATTGATTGTATTTTTATATTAGTAATATTTGTATTTGTTGATTTTTTCAATTCTCATAATATTTTATTCGAAATAAAACATTTACTACAAAAACTAATACCCCGTTCACACGATGCAATTCGTCATTCAAGGTCCAAATACATAGAATACTTTTTACGACGAACTGCGAATGGCAGCTGTGCAACGTGAAAAAGTGATGTCCAATCGTTGCGTTGATAAAGTATGAACAAATAATTTAATATGCTTTAATAATATAAAAAATATTGAGTATAAAATATTTAATGTAAAAAAATATTTAATTTAAAAATGGTGTTTTTCGCACACAAACAAATCACAATTATACACAACAAAAAAGACAAGCAATAATTTTGAGTTTTGTTTCTGTTATCATTTTCTTTTTCTCTTCTTTTTCGTACGCCAAAGTTGAATAGTTTTCAACTTTTTTACTTCGTGCACAAGTTTGACGTATTGATTGTGACCGCTCTCATTTAAATACATACAGTAAACACGAGCTGTCAGTCGGAGTTCGTCGTAAAGGATTGTATGTTTTTGGACCTTTACTCTCTCATTCTTCATTCAACCGCCAATTTCGAACTGAATTACATTATTCGCCATACTAAATTTCAACTGCGAATTACACAAGCTGTACGTAACGAAATTCAGCTTGAATACCTACGAATTAAAAATGAGTGTCATCTTTAATTTTTATCAGCTATTTTTCATAAAATTAAAAGAAAAGGAAAATTTTTTACTTAATTTGTTAAAATAATGTAAAAAACGAATTTTTGTATAATGCACATGTATTCCGAAAAAAAAAAAAACAAAACAAAGAACAAAAAGCAAAATGGCGATGAACTGTCAAAACGAATTACGAATTTATCGTGGAAACGGGTTAATTTTCTATTGTAAATCCGAAGCCGAATTAAATAATTCAACTTGATATATAAATAAAGGTGCCTTTACACGATCACACTTTACGTACGTAAAGTCTAATGAAAAAGTAAAATGAAATTCCATCCGTATGACAAAAAAGAGAATAAAAGTCGTATGATTTATATTTTTTATGTTTACACGATTGGTATAAAACAATAACAAAGTTAGATGGAAACAACTGTTTCACTTTTTTGTATGTGTTTACATAAAAATACATCCCTGATCTAATGCAACTTGCTTGTTTTTTGAATCATTTCGAAAAATGAATAGAGCCATACGACTGTCAAATTCTGTATCCCTATTTTCTCTCAATGTGTAATGGTTTCAACTTGTTTATGTGTTAGTAATTTATTCCAACAATCATTGAGGAAGAAGAATTATAAATTTAATTTTTATTTAGATTTTGCGACGGCAACATCATTTTTTTACCGCATAGTGATAAAAAAATGTATGAAAAAATTTGATGCGTTATGTGTCTATACTGTTACACATACAATTTTTACCATTATTATAAATGTAATTTTTGTTATAAAAAACAATTATTTATTTTTTGAAATTATTTGTTTATTAATGAAAAATTGTTTTATTAAAAAACTGGACATTTTTCTTTGTATATTTCAAGTAAAATTTGGTACTATGCCTGTAAATAAATTCGAATGTGATTTTTTTTGCGGCAAAAAATGTGATGTTGTTTTAACAAAAACAAAATAAAAATGTGTATATGCTTCTTCTTCAATGTATGCTTCTTCTGCTTCAATTTCAGTTGAAAATCAAAAGTGTTTTGATTTTCATCAAACCAGTGCCTGTGTGTGTAAATTTGTTTGATCATACATACCATCCGTATTTTTCTACACAAAAAATTGACAGATCATATTACTTGTGTGCTAGTGTAAAGGGGCCTTAATTTTGTATAAATAGCTTCATTTATCTAGCGGCTTTTTTATTAAAAAAGCGGTACCACTATCAAATGATCTGGCAACATATAAAATTGGTGGCATTTCAAGTAGTTGGCAACATTTAAGTAAACATCATTGATTGAAAATTGTCGCCGGGAAACTTCCGAGAACATTTTATTCGGATAAATAGTTTAATATTAATTATAAATCAAATTTTACTTGTTTAATAAAAATTTAAAGATTTTCAACTTATAAAAATGTCCTTGATTTGTGCGAGTAAGTTATGTTTGTTATTATATAGGGAAATTATAATTTTAGGTTATGTTTGAATCGAATCAATCAAATTACAGATTCATTTGTAATGTTAAAATATTAATTCACACATTTTGCAGTTACAAATGAGGTGCCCGATACTCCTGTTATATCTCCACATTCGGGAGCTATTTTCGAGAAACGTATAATAGAAAAGTATATATTAGAAAATGGTGTTGATCCAATTACCGGCAAAGAAATGAAAGCAGAAGAATTAATTGAAGTGAAAACTCCACCAATTGTGAAGCCGAAGCCTCCTACCGCTACAAGCATTCCCGCTACATTGAAAACACTACAAGACGAATGGGATGCTTTAATGTTGCATTCGTTCACGCAGAGACAGCAGTTGCAAACAACACGCCAGGAGTTGTCGCACGCTCTTTATCAACATGATGCTGCTTGTCGTGTAATAGCGCGTCTTAACAAAGAGGTGGCAGCTGCGCGAGAAGCGTTAGCTACATTGAAACCACAGGCTGGCATAGGGGCAACCATTGCCCCAACGTCCATACCACAGCCTGCAATCGCCTCTGAAGCAGCCGGTCTTGCAACGCAGCCTATTGAACAGGCTGGAATGAGTGCGGAAATTATACAAAAGCTTCAGGATAAGGCCACTGTTCTTACACAGGAAAGAAAAAAACGTGGTCGCACTGTACCCGAAGAGTTAGTAACCCAAGATCAAATCAAGACTTTTCTTACTGTGGCTTCACATCCAGGCTTACATTCAGCTTCTATACCAGGTATATTGGCATTGGATATCAACAGTGCAGATCACAGCAAAATTTTGACAGGTGGTAATGACAAGAATGCCACTGTATTCAACAAGGACACGGAACAAGTTGTTGCCATACTCAAGGGCCATACAAAAAAGATTACCAAAGTTATATATCACCCTGATGAGGATACTGTCATCACGGGATCTCCTGATATGTCTATTCGTATTTGGAACGTACCAACTTCTCAAACACAACTTCTATTACGCTGTCACGATGGTCCAATTACAGGATTGTCTTTGCATCCAACGGGGGATTACGTTCTTTCTACTTCTTCGGACAAACACTGGGCATTTTCTGATATTCGTACTGGTCGTCTACTAACAAAGGTTTACAATGTTAATTAATTTATTGCTATTTGATGTTCTATTTTGTTGTTTACTCTATTTTAGGTTATTGACACTGCAGAGGTTGGTCTAACCACTGCTCAGTTTCACCCAGATGGTTTAATTTTTGGCACCGGCACCGATGATTCACAAGTAAAAATTTGGGATCTTAAGGAACAAAGTAATGTCGCAAACTTTCCAGGACATACAGGTCCTATATCAGCAATTTCTTTTTCTGAGAATGGTTATTATCTTGCTACAGCAGCCGATGATGCTTGCGTTAAATTGTGGGATTTGCGTAAACTCAAAAATTTCAAAACAATACAACTAGACGATACTTATGAAGTGAAAGATTTATGTTTTGATCAAAGTGGTACATATTTAGCAATAGCAGGCACTGATGTTAGGTAAGTAAATCAAATTATTTATAAGGTACTTTTTATATACACTTCTTAGTGTTTCTGTATGAGCGCATGCTTTTTGAAATGTTCCATCCAATTATGAAGTCTATTTTGTTTCACTAACACTCGCCTGGACATTTCCTTTTGAGCTTTTATACGTCTTCTCACTTGATTTTCAATTCGTGTACAATCCTCTGGTGGAATTTTTTCCAGATCCTGCAGTAGACCCTGAAATGTAAGGGTTTGAACTTTGCTGCTGATATGTTTAATTAATTTTATAATATCGAGTGTTACATACCATCAAATGCCACTGAAGTTTTTCCACTTTTTCTAAAGTAGTATTATCAGTATTTTTAGAGAAGTCACTAGAATCTAAAGAATATTTTTTATTAGATGTCTTCATTGGAGAGATCTTCCTTCTTCTTGTCTTTAATATTGGAAGATGTTTTGTATCATTGCCACTGTTTTGTGCCAATTTAACTTCAACTTTTTCAAGAATAACTGGCAGTATTGCATTTAATTTAATTTGAAGAGAACTAAAATAAAGATATTTATTAAATAATAGAATTTTACATGAATGGGATTGTTTAACTCTTTCTTTTGATTCCTTTCAAAATTATCCAATACTTCCAAAGAACGCTGCTTTAGAAATTCTATCCTTTTCCTCAAGAAATCGGGATCTTTAAGATACTTTGGCTTTTTTGTGTTTTGAGAGAATGTTTTTTCCTAGAAAAATATTTAGTTGCATACATTATTAAAAAATAAAAATATAATTTTGTATATATTACCGATTTATCATGTACAATAGCCACTAAGTGATTTAACAAAGCGAGATGGTTAAAACGCCTATTGTAGTTAAATATTTTTTGTCTAGTACGTTCATAGCCCTTTCATAATTGTTATAAACGCAATTAATAAAGTATTTAATAAATAATGTTTCTCTATACCTTAATCCAAATATCAGCGTTGAGATGATTTCTTTTTGCCAAATATGGTCTTACAATTTGATTCATATAATTAATAATTGATGATACTTCTTTTTCACCAATGGGATTTCGTTCATTAATTTGCAAATCTACAATTCCGGTTGGCTGCGGTAGTTTACATTGTTTAGAGTCTTTAACATCATCTGCTATATCTTCTGGTGCAATAATTTCATCAAAGTATCCCTAAATACAAATTAAAGAAATAAAAAAATACATTTTCGTATAATTATGCTAATATATTTATGCATCGTATAAAAAATATCTAATAATTTTTATACCATGTATTTATGTGTAAAATGTGTCATAATAGATTTTTTTTTTACATTGGTAACGAATGTTTGAACTTTTAATTATTTTCTTTAAAATAATAAAAATGTCCATAAAAAGCAATGAAATGAAATTAAAAATGAATGTTCGCTGCCTAAAGTAGCCATTACAACGAAAATTAATATTTTTTTATGCATATCAAATGTAACAAAATTATAATTTTATTCCCATCCACAAAAAACATTTATGCAATTTTGCTGTCAAAATGGCCAATATAACAAATTCTGCAAAAATAATTTTGATACATACAATTAGTTTAAGTAGAAATAAAAAGCGGCCGTACACTTCCTGAACCTCCATTAGAACTCGTTGATGTTCAGCAATATGGTTTTTTAGCTCCTCCGAAATTTTGTTGGTTTGCAAATTTTCCAATTGCCGTTGAATTTTTTTCATTTCATTAAATGCTCTTGATTCAGACTTTTGAAGAACATCGGCCGCAAACTAATATTTAATAAACCAAAAATTAAAAAGAAAAATATATATATTATTCGACATATTACTTATTAAAATTTTAATAAGGACCACATCTAATTAAATTTTAACGTTTCGAGGTCCATAGACTATGCTGTAGCTTTTGGGCGATACTTAATAAATATGGAAATTAAAATAAAAATATTTCTCTTTTTTATACACAAAAAATACATATTTTCGCCAAGTAAAGTTGAAGGGTATATCATAATATAATTCTAAATTAGAAAAATCATTTACTTTACTTGTTTACCTCTTGATATTCTGTTATGCGTTCATAGATATGCTGCTGATATGCGGATTCACTTTGTTTTTCCAAATACCTTTGTTGCGTTGCATAAAACATGAATTTCTTCCGTGTTATTTCTCGTAATGTCAATATATCACTTAGAGATGAAAAATAATAAAAATAATATATTTTAATGCACGTATTTATGAAAATCATTTCAAAAATTTAAACAATTTATTTATTTAGACATGTAGCAAGCGAAAGTCTCTATGAATTAAAAATAAACGTAAAATGAAAAAAAATAGTTCTTACGTTTTCATACGAAATTTTCTTGTCCTTCGCTGCAATGATGCGTTCTTTATATATTCCGGATCAATTATTGTTACCACGCAAGGAGCACGTGGGTTCGCAACTTGACCTTTCTAAAATAATTAATCGATAATTTATTTAAATTTTAAGAGAAATTTATTATACAAAGTACTTGCCGCATTGAAATCTTCAATTGTTAAATTTATTAGTTGTGGTGTTTCTGGATCCTTCAAATCTTCCTCATTATAAAAGTCTGTAAAGATTTATTAAAATGTTAAATACAAATAAAAAGTTCATTAATTATGTACATAATATGTACGTATATTACCCACTTATTTTAATGGGATCATAACAAAGTAACAGGAAAGATTTACATCATTTTATTATTCTTTAAATTAATTTTAGAAAATCGTCTAATATTTATTAGCATTATGGCTAATGACCCTTTAGAATAAAATGAGTAATACATATGTACATAATTTAAAGCAAATCAGTATTACCATCATATGATCGAAATATTTTGTTTTTCTTTTTAAATGTTTTATACATTATTCTCTATATTTTGTTTTTAAAAAACAAATTCCAATTTAATAAACTTATTAATGAAAAAGTTACAATAGATGGTGTATCTTTAAGTAAACAAATTGTTGGTAACTAAGCAAAAATAAAATTGGCTGTTGTCACGGCTTTACGGAAACAAAAATATGTACTCAATATGAATGAGATGAGAAAACTTTATTTTAATTTAACATTGAGGGCAAACTGATAAAAACAATTACATTCAATTTCGGTTTTATTTGCCATAAGACTATTTTTGTAATGATCACATTCTTTATCACCAAACTTTACTTTATAACACGAATGACATTTTTTTTATATTTTCATATTTATATTTTATTTTTATTTACAGAGTCTATATGTGCAAGCAGTGGCAAGACTTAAAAGTGTTTAATGATCATACTGCTCTGGCAACTGGAGTGCGTTTTGGCAAAAACGCTCAATATATTGCATCAACAAGTATGGACAGAACTCTAAAATTATATTCAATTGATTAAGTTGTATAATCTGGAATTTTATTTTAACTTTAAGGAATTATTTTGTATTGGAAAAGACATTTTTGTCTTTCAGTGTGTTTGATTATTTTATACATTTTCGGAAAATAAAAAGAAATACAAATATGAACGTATGTATAACAGTTATTTATTGCTACACATTCACTCTTAAATCTTTAATTAAAAATAATAATAAAATGTATTAAAATAACGTTTATTTGATTGCATTCGTTGTGTGTGTTGTTTATGAAGCAGCAATCTGTTTGAGTGGTCCTTCAAGGTAAGCAGCAAGAGCCATGGCTTTCTGTTTCAGAAGACCGAGACCAACATTTTCTTTTGCATAAAGACACAACAATATACTAGCAACCTGAAATAAAAAAGGATTTTTTGTTTAAATATGCACTACACATCAATAGGATTTCTCAAATTCCGCGTAATGGTTTAAAAGTAGAGAAAATTTAAACCGACTGGGATCAGGGACTGTTTGAAAATACATTACATCAGTGCAGCTGATTGAGGGATAAGTTTGGGATCATGGCGCAATTTATAATCTTTACATCTTGTTTGAAATGGTGAAAAAATATTGGTACACATTTATCACTATTTTTGATATGTGAGTTTAAAGGTATGTACACTAGGGATATAACTATTGACATTCTTTACAAATATGCAAGTTGGCATATCATAGTCGAATAGAGTATTAAAAACTATGAGAAACTACATTATTATTTTTTCGCGGTTGGTTAAAAATTTCACGCACCAAATGTCTGTCCGTCTGTTTTTTATAATCAGTTTTTTGAAGGCTCCATATGTCTTCGGAATCCAAATCTTAGATAATTAATTTAAATATGCTTTTAAGTGCTTAGTTGTTTAAAACCCGTAAAATCGGTCCATAAGAATCGGAGATATGGTCAAAACAAATATGATCAACAAATAATTTCTTATGGACTTTTTGATTTAGTATATTTGCGAAAAATCAAAAAGTTCGGAGATATAGGCAATGATGAGTCGCCATGTGACAAAAATATACTTCTAGGTTGAAATGCCCATATATAAATATTTTAATCTTAAAATTAAAAAAATAAAAAATTAAAAAAAAAGGTTTATATTATAATTATACAACATTGGCCATCTCGTGGTGGGTGGTATGCCAAAAATTTCGCCAAATTAGTTATATCCCTAATGTACACACCACATACAGTTTGCAAATCTGATGCATTTTCAAACGTACTGTGCATCAGAAATAGCACAGCGTTATTCATATCGATCAGACCCACCCACTATTTTTATTCTATCTTAGTGGTACATATGTATGTATAAGGAACATAGGGTTAATATTTGTATCAGGCTTGAAATTGCTTGTGAAAATAACATGAGAGAGATTTTTACCTTTGTTATTGCTACATGGCCACATTCGCAGTCTAATAATACGAATTGTAAACGATCTTCTCGGAAGGCATTGCGTCCATGCTTTTCATATGCAGCCCAAATATTGCTTGCTATTGCTGCAGTTACACGAGCATCCTTATCTTTATCACCATAACCCGAATAAGCCAGTAGAGCGCCTTCTTGGCTTAGAAGCCTGTGCGGGGCAATATAAAGAACTTGTTAAATATTTTATATTTATAATACGTTAGGTTTATTTATATTACTTACAAAGTATTTTGGACACCGCCAGTATTGGCTTGACTAAGAACTTGTGTTAACGCTTTTGGTTTTAACATTTTTCAATTAATAAATTTATTTCAAGTTCCTTGTACGAATCTACAAAATGTAAACATAAAAAATTAGTGATAAATAAAAACAGCTGATAGTTGTTGCCAGACATATTTTGATGTGAACCAAAAAATAAGCGGTTTAATGAAATATTAGGATGATAACAAGGCGAATTCATATAAGGTGGTGTTATTCAATCAACTGATAATTTTTTCTTATTTCGCCTGGTTTACGTAGCTGTCAAGCTGTTTGTTACAAGCTGTTTGTTATTGTTTACATTTTTATATTTTTTGTGAAAAATAAACATAAAAAAGTACATATTCATGAAAATATTATATTACGAATGAATGAATATTTGTTGCGAATGGATAATTCTACTCCGGCGGAGTAATTTTCAATATTTGGCCATCATGTAGCAGCCGCCGGACTGGTAAATACCTCATATGGGTTTTGTTATATAAAGCGTTCCGGAACAGATTTTTTAGTTAATCTCTTTATCTACATAGTGTATATATAAAACAATATTGTTTAATTTGTTAACATTTAATAGATTTCAAAATTAATCCATAACGTAGAAGTCAGCTGCCGCCAGCCGGGTAAATACTTCATATGCGTTTCTTAATATTAAGTGTTCCGGAAGAGATTTTTTTAGTTAATCACGTTATCTACACAATTTTAATATAAAATATAAAACAATATTGTGTAATATGTTAACATTTAATAGAAAAAAAAATATTTTTCTTAAATAACATATTTGTATACATACCAATTATGCCATTATTTAAATAGAATGATAATTGTTTACGAGATGCTTGGTATTTTCAGATTTTTTACATAAATAATTCAAAATATTAACGAAGTTTTTCTCCGTTTAACGGGCATTTTTAAATATAAAAATGTAAACAATAACAAACTTTAACAGCTACGTAAACCAGGCGAATTAAGAAAAAAATTAATAGCTCATTGAATAACACCACCTTTAATTCGCCCTGGGTCCTTTGTTGACGAGAGAGCCCGGAGACAAATATGATTGGCCAATTGTTACTAGGGTTCTATAAATCGACTTTCGAATAATCGAACAATCGACTTTTTGTCGAAAAAAGTCGAAAAGTCGAAGTCGACTACTTTGTTCCAAAAAAGTCGATAACTCGACTATCGTCTATGAAAAAAGTCGAAAAGTCGACTTTGTAAATAAAAGTCGAAAAGTCGGAAAGTCGAAAAAAGTCGAAAAGTCGAAAAAAATCGATAAGTCGAAAAAAGTCGAAGAAAGTCGAAAAAAAGTCGAAAAGTCGGAAAAAGTCGAAAAAAGTCGAAAATAGTCGAAAATTTTAAAAAAGTGGAAAAGAGGTCAAAAACTCTAAAATAGTCGGAAAAACTCGAAAAAAGTAAAAAAATAGTCGAAAAAAGTCGAAAATAGTCAAAAAGTCGTAAAAAATCGAAAAGTCGGAAAAAGTCGAAAAGTCGAAAAATGTCGGAAAAAGTCGAAAAAAGTCGGAAAATGTCGGAAAAAGTCGAAAAGTCGACTTTTAAATAAATGAAAAAGGTCGAAAAGTCGAAAAATCGACGCACATAAAGAAAACAACCCGACGAAAAATAAAACAAACCGCAACAGCTGTTTTATCAAAATAAACATTTTTTTTGGTGTGGTGAGTTTTTTTTGTTTACAAATATGTGTTTGTGCACGTGGGAAAGACGCAAAAACTCGTTTTCAATATTTACATTTTCAATATGTGTTTATGCACGTGGAAAAGATTCAAAAAAATTGATTTTCATGATTTACTTTAAAAAAATTATTTTTGATCAATTAAAATATGTATATAAATGTGGAAAGGAACAAATCTGATAAAATAAAAATATATATGGGATTATATCGTTACAGAATGCCTTTTAATAAAAACCATTCAAAAAATAATACTATGGTCATATATAGAAAATAATATATAAATGCTATCGGACGATCTTGTGCACGATAAAAACCTATATAGAACTTTAAGTTGGAAGTGTAGAAATCGGATGGCATACATTTTTTTCCGGATTTCATCGTTCTAGGGTGTGTACTACAACAACAAACTTTTTTTTTACAAAAAATGTTACTATAGCCGTATATATAAAATGATATATAACTGCTATCGGACGATCTTGTGCACGACAAAAACCTATATAGAACTTTAAGTTGGAAGTGTAGAAATCGGATGACATACATTTTTTTCCGGATTTCATCGTTCTAGGGTGTGTACTACAACAACAAACTTTTTTTTTTACAAAAAATGTTACTATAGCCGTATATATAAAATGATATACAACTGCTATCGGACGATCTTGTGCACGATAAAAACCTATATAGAACTTTAAGTTGGAAGTGTAGAAATCGGATGGCATACATTTTTTTCCGGATTTCATCGTTCTAGGGTGTGTACTACAACAACAAACTTTTTTTTTACAAAAAATGTTACTATGGCCGTATATATAAAATGATATATAACTGCTCAATAATAAACTCCATCTACTAAAAATATTTTGACAAATACCTATTGTCTAAGATCCTAGTCTATACTTTTATAAATTTTAGACCAATATTTCGGTGTATAAGTTCCTTGGCTCCCTGATGAGTTTATCGTATACCGATATTGTCCATATTCAATAACAAACTCAATCAACTAAAATTATTTTGGCAAATATTGGCTGGTCTTAGACTGTAATAAGATCCCAGCATATACTTTTATGGATATTAGACCAATATTTCGATGTGTTACAAACGGTGTAAAATGTTCCTTGACTCCCTGATGGGTAGTGTCTTTCAAGTGGTGATTTAACGATCTTGAAAGTGACGGAACTAATAGGGAATCACATTGTTTGCCGGTCTCTGGTAAGATTTTAGGTTGATAGTCATGCTGCACTTAAAGCATTAATATGTCATAGCTGTATTCTTGCATAGTCGTAGAATGAAGAAAAGATCTAAGTGTTATTATGAGACCGTTTACAATAAGGCTGTGTTGGGTACCAGGACCCTGCAATATACACAAATGAGGTATCTGG